TATTATCACTATTCTCATTATTATGATTATTATTCTCCTGGTCTTCTCAGTTTGCACTGGTAACTTTGAGCAAGTGAAGACGGGCTAATGCCAAAGAACCTCACTCACATCTTTTGGGATATAGAAACCAATTTTCTGTTCTTAAAATTTAGGGAGCTAACGGTTCTTCTTAGCGTTTCTATCCCAATAAAGCTTTAATACATTATTATTATTAATAGTTAAGACTTAAAATTTACTGTAACAATAACGGTGAACCATATCTTGGTGATTAAATTTTTTATTTAATTTGTTTATTAATAGTTCATAGTATCCACTTAATAAAAAGCTAAAATTACGATTGGGATTTGTAAAATTTGAAATTTAAATTTAAAATATCTACTACGTTTTTTGTAAAATATGATTTTCATTAATGGTCCCAATTATTTGGTTCAAGTAGAATAAAATGATTGAGTAAATGGATACAGGTAGGTTTTTGTACGTGTGTGGTTAATTTCCTGGTTTTAAATTTAACCGCATTAGTAATGAATTAAAATAAGCCTTTGTCTATAGAAGAAACTAAATATAGAAGGAGATATTATTGTAGGTACCAATCAAAATAGTAGAAATGTAATCTATCTTAACTATTCTAATTTGGTGTTTATAGAAGAAATACATGAATTTAAGCCATTTGGAATAACGTTACTGATCTATGATGTTAAATTCTGTATTAAAAATAACAACTTTTTTTACAGTTTTGTAACTATTTTTAACATAAACGCTTTACCTGGCGCCTCCAGTATAAATGGATACGATTTAGATTACATCAATTTATAATATTAGAAAATATAATAAACGATTTATATTTTTGTATTACTCTATATGGAAATAAATACTTAATTATAGTTAATCTCAATTTAATTCTAAAGCAAGTGTATCTAATAGATAATAGATAATGTTTTTAATTTTCTGATAATGTTTTTGTTTGAAGAGTAAAGTACGTATACTACAAACATTATATTTATTGTTAATAACTATTTGTAGCCTGTTTTCAACTTCATTAAACTGTCTTATCTAGGTAAGTAATTCTATTTTTTGTTTCAGGGCCGAACTTTCGGAGCAATTATTCAAAATTTCTTAGAAATTGCCACCAACTTAAATGAAGAATTTCTTCCAGCATATAACACTTCGGCTGGAAAGAAAGCTTATGAAGACACACTTAACTGTGTAAAAACAAATTTTCCACAATATGTTCAAGAACTTGAAGGTATTGCAGATGGTGCGAAAGTTCCGTTTCACAAGGTAAGTTCTGTACATATGTTAGGCCCGAAGACCGAAAACGCTCAGTGGCCGGAAAAAACGGCCACAACGCGTTCTGGCTGCCTTCAAACGCACAGAACGCGTTCTGGCTGTTTTTAAACACTCGCAACGCGTTCTGGTAACTGTGAAACAGCCAGAACGCGTTTTGTCAATTGTTGTCGGGTATACAGTTAAAATTTGAGTGTGTGAATATGAAAGTGAGGTACCAGCGGACAAAATCTCCTTACGATCAGCATCAACTCAATCATCAGGAAGCAAACAAGGTTTTGTTTTTTGTCAGTGCAAACGAATGTGCATTGATAAAAAATGCAAGTGTCGCAATTTAAATGTACTATGTAATTCGAAATGTCATTCAAACAGTTCTTGTAAAAATAAGTAATATACCTATGTAAAGTACTTGAAAGTTCGAAAAAACCCCTCGTTTGTATTTAATTGTGGTTGTCAAAAATTAAATCGTTTCTAATAAAGTAAAAAAGGCATGAATTTAAGTTTGCGTTGTACTCCACACTAAGTTAAATGTGTCGAAATTCATTTGTTTAATGAATACCTTTTCGCTTTTTCATTCATTCATTCGTATATCATATGCTCGACAATATAAGTGTTCAGTGTAACTTTCTTCCTAGAACTGAAAAACAATTATAAGAAATTTAATATTGTTGAAATGATTCGGCGAGAAAAACCGAACCCATCTTTGGTATC